GAACTAGAAAGGCTAAAAATTCATCAAAAGGAGAATGACTCATTTGCTGAAGCCATAGAAGGTGGATCTTTTGAGTTTACTTAGAATGATGAGTCAAAACCAATACCCGATGAAAGAACAAACACGCCAAGGACTTGGAGATTTTCCACATCTCATCCATTGGAGTTAATAATTGGAGATACAACAATTATTGTCAGAACAAGGGTTACAATCAACAGAGAAAGCAACCTTGTTGGTTTTAGTTTGATATGGAGCCTAAGAAAATGGAGAAGCCTTAGAAAATGAATTCCGGATTGCTGATGAAAGAAAAATTAGAACAACTTGAGAATAGTCAAGTTTGAAATCTAGTACCTCTACCAAGGAACCAATTAATTATTGGTACCAAATGGGTATTCAAGAACAAGTTGAATGAAAAAAGAGAAGGTGTAAGAAATAAGTCAAGATTGATTTCTCAAAGGTATAAATAATAAGAAGGGATTGATTATGGAGAAACCTTTTACACTTGTAGCAAGGTTGAAAGTAACTAGAATACTACTTGCCTATGTTACTCATCAAAATATCATTTTATGTAAAATGGATGTCAAAAGTGCCTTCTTAAATGGATTCATATATAAATGAAGAAATGTATGTAAAACAACCACTTGGGTTTGAAGATAAAAAGAAGCCACAACATGTGTATAAACTTGTTAAAGCATTGTATGGATTGAAGCAAACTCTAAGCTTAGTAAGAGAGGTTCAACAAATTTCTTTTAAAGAATGGTTTTTCAAGAGGAAAGATTGATATTACCTTATTTAGAAAGGTTTAGAAGGATCATCTTTTGATAGTCTAGATTTATGTGGATGACATAATATTTGGAGCAACCTCTTAGATGATGTGTAAAAAATTATCTAAACTCGTGAAAGGAAAATTTGAGATGAGTATGATGGGAGAATTAAAATTCTTCCTTGGACTACAAATCCTACAACTAGAATAAGGGATTTTTATTCATCAAGAAAAATACATCAAAAGTGTCTTGAAAAGATTCAGAATGAATGAGGCAAAAACTATGACCACACTTATGCATCCCTTAAAAATAATTATTGTTAATTCTAAAGGAAATCCAATATGTGGAAAAAAAATACAAAAGAATGATAGGATCTCTCTTGTATTTAATAGCTAGTAAACCAAATTCGTGTTTTCAGTTGGCTTATGAGAAACACACATAACAACTATGAAAATGGATTTTACATATTTCAGTGGAACCAACAATCATGGTTTATGGTTTGAAAGAGGAACATGTTGAAATAACAAGTTATAGTGATGTTGATTTTGTTGGAGATAAGGTAGCAAGGAAGAGCACAAGTGGAATCTACCAATTGCTAGGAAAAACAGTTATCTCATGGAAATCTAGAAAGCAAGAAACAATAGTCTTGTCCACCACATAAGCAAAATATATTGTTTTTCCTGCATGTTGCATACAAGTCATTTGGATCAGGTAGCAACTTTTAGATTATTCACTCAAATTTGAGAAGATTCTAATATTGTATGACAAACATATGTGCTATTGAACTGTCAAAAAATCCAATCTAGCCTTCTAGATCAAAGCACATAGATGTGAAACATCATTTTATAAGAGATCATGTTCAAAAACAAGATATTGAAATTAAGTTCATTGAAACCAAATTTCAATTGGATGACATCTTCACCAAGCCATTACCAGAGAATAAGTTCAAATTTATTAAAGAAAAGTTAAATATTAAATCTATGTTTAATATTATTGAATAATATATGCTTGTTTGATGCCCGGTTTTTGTTTGATAAATATATGTGTGTTTTGAAATGGCACTTAGGGCGCTTTTGAACCCAACTTCTGAACAAGTAGGTTTTTGGCCATTAAAATATAATAAAGTGTTTAAAATAGGTATCAAAGGTAACTTAGTTGCCTTTCAACAATAACTTCCAAGGAAGTTACAAGGAGCATTAAAACTCCTTTAATCTATCTCCTTTTTCTTCACTATTTGAATGAAATTGTGCAAACCTCCTAAATCATTTCAAACCTCTTCTTCTCATGGTCTCCCTTTCAAATCTTTTATTCTTTTCCACTACCATTCGATTCTCACTCTTTTCTCATTTAATCATGACTTCAAAGAAACCCAGTGTTCTTGACAAGGGAAAGACGCCAATATCCTCTGAATACAGTA